TGGAGTTATGGTTTGGGGTGCTATAGCTTATGGTTCCAGGTCACCTTTAATCTTCATCAGAGATAACATGAACGCGCAGCGTTATATCCACGAAGTTCTAGAACCCCATCTTTTACCCTATCTTGACACCCTGGCAGATCCAACTTTCCAACAAGATAATGCCCGACCACATGTTGCGAGAGTCACAATAGACTTCTTTCAATATAATGATGTCACATTGTTACCATGGCCACCAAGATCTCCCGACTATCCCCAATTGAGCACGTGTGGGATATGATGGGTAAGAGATTGCTCAATTTGCAACGTCCTCCTCAGACTCTAGAAGCACTTCGAGAGGAGTTGGTGGTTGCCTGGAATGAGATACCATAGGAGGACATTGACCACCTGATCAGAGGCATGCCTAGGCGCGATGGAGAATGCGTAGCACATCAGGGTGCACCCACACATTATTAAAGGTCAAAGGCCTTTAAAGGAGTGCAATCATTTTGAAATTTTTATCATTTACTTATTATGCTTCATTAAGTACTTATACAAAATTTTATTAAAATAAAACCATTTAAACTGGGTGTTCGGATTTATATGTCACTTAGTATATTTTGCACGCTCAACTCCATCCAGCGCCCAGTCTAATAACGATGATATGATTTTGACAGCTCACTGCCGCCATCTATGTTGTCAATTTTCTGACAGCTGAGTTATTTTGTGTTCAGTAGGGAAGTTAAAGTTACCTCAACGTTTGGAAATCGTCCAAATATTCTTTTAAAGTTCGAGAAGCTTTGTCGCTACTCAAAGAGCATTTCGTGCTAAATATGGTCGTTATGTTGCACCGTCTAAGCTCGCTATACGTCGCATAATTCAAACACTGTAACGTGAATGTTCTTTGTACGATAGAAGACCACCAGAATGTGATCTGGCCGTAGTGAAGTGAATATAGCGGCCGTACCAGCTAGTGTCGCCGAAAATGACAATGTGTCGGTTCCATGCCGTTCACAACAATTGGGGCTATCCAGAATGACAACGTAGCGTATTTTACGTTTTGATCTCGAGCTACATCCATATAAGATGATATTGACACAGTAACTCAAGCCATCAGACCATCAGTTCGGTTGCGCCGTGGGTTTGCTGATTGAGTCGTGGAAATGATGGAAACCGATCCAGAATTTCATCGCAAAATCACGAGGCTCATTTCTGGTTGAATGGATATGTCAACAAACAAAATTATCGTTATTGGAGTGAGCCAAATCCAAGAGTGGACCACGAAACACCACTACATCCAGAAAAATTGACGGTTTTGTACGGTGGTATGATTGGCCCATACGTCTTTAAAAACGACGGAAGCCGTACGGTTACTTTCAATGGCGAGCGTTACCATGATATGTTGAACGAATTTGTTTTCCTTAAGGCGGCTCCGACGCAGTGAGTTTCAAGCCATTTACAAGGGTTCAGCTGCTTCAAAACCGACACTCCATTTTTCAATATTTTTGAATGAAATTCATACAGTATGTTGAGAAGATAATTGCCCAGAGTGCTATAGAAGCACTTTTTGAAATTTTGTTTTTGCACAAGTTTTACGATGGGTTGAAGTGCGCACCTTTTCTGTTCAACTTCGCGATTTTTAAAAAAAACCTAGTAAAAAAAATGAAAAAGTGGCTCTATAGCACCCTGTGGGGTTTGGTTTTTTGGTTTTCAGCACTCTGTGAAAATTTCATCCAAAAATATCAAAAAATAAGGCGTCAATTTCAAAGCGCGCAAACCTCTACAAATCGTATTTTGGACAAATTTTGTTTACTGTTTCGTGCTGACAACCCAAGCGTTGCGGCGCAATGTACGGACTAAAAAAGGACGTATTCAGATAATTTGGTGGCCCTATTTCATATAATATCGCGTAGATAAGTCTTTCTGCAAATAGGTACTCATAATCGCGATCGCTGATACTCCCCGATTTTAAAGCCGTTTTACTTCCCACGTCATTGGCGAGGAAGTATTGTAATTGCAAAAAAATTCTAAAACGAGATGTTATGTTTTTTTAAGTCATATGACATCTACATCATGAAAAACTGTATCACTCATCAACTTGGAAATAACCGCTCGGATTTTTATGAAATTTCTACACGGGGTTACTAGTATGCTAAAGCTCTGTAGTTTTAGTCCAGTGGCAACGGTGCTATAAGCAAAAAAGAAAAAGTAACAATTGCTAAAACTTCGTTTTTGACGTTACAGGGGTTCCTTATCATTGACAGAAAAAAATTGTACTGCTTAAAAAGTGGGGGTTGGGGGAAGGTGATTCTAAATGTTGCATCTTTGATATCAGTGAAACACGTTCTGTTATTAAGAAGCTTCTGATCCCAGTGATTACAGAAAATTCAAGCAACGAAAATGAATTCGGATATCACTCCAGTCAAGTATAGGGGAATTTAGCGTGGAACTTTAAAATTATCGATATGTCAAAGAAATATGTTTTTGAGAACGATAATTTCGTAGATTTTATACCTGCATTTTCATTTGAATTTCATGACCCGTGAAATGTACCCATTTCGCCGTTACGTTCAATTTTTGTTCTGCAGTTTGTGATGTTTTTCTGGATATAAGCAGGACATAATTGCCTAAGGTAGTATCAGAGCGTTTTACAAAATTTTGTCTTTGCGCAAGACTATTTGTGCTCAACTTCTTGATATTTTAAAAAGATCGTAGTGGATAAAATCGAAAAAGTGGATCGTTGGCACCCTGTGGACTTTGTTTTTAGCACGCTGCAACAGTTTCATTTGGAAATAATGAAAAATGCAACGTAAGCTGTGAAGTGCAAATCGGTTTTAGGGCGAAATTCGTCTACTGTTTCGTCCTGCCAGTCCAAGCGACGCCACGGTGCGTTCCGACTAAGAAAAAATGTATTCAAATAATTTGATATCTTTCCTAAAATAAATTCAAGAATTCAAATTACAATTCGTTTATTCATGTCAGTAAACACAATTATGCTTACAAGGGTCATGTGGTAGATGGTAACAATTAAATGAGAGCCATAAAAATATCTTATGCCGTCAAAATAAGAGGAAACAGTTAGGTAGTTTTTGCAAAGCAATAAACAGGTAGGATTACACCTGGATTAAGTACATTTCTTGTCTACTGTAATAGGTAGATGGAGGCGATGCTGTCGGAAATGGATGGGTGCGATCAATAAACAAACTGCGGTGTCCAATGATTTTTGTACTGCCTTTTTTGTTGCGCTACTAGAAAACTCTGTTGGGTATATGATGGAGTTTACTAGAACTTTACAGCTTGTTGTCTGCCATCTTCTACAAACTTCACCAAATCGAGACGCTGTCAACCTTATCCTCCGATGAAGGCGCGACAAAGTACAGTCCTGTGATTTGGTGACTTGTTCAATCTGCAAAATCTCGTCGTCACTTTTTTTAAGTTAAAACTATTCATTTTCTTTGGAATTGCTATCCGAATTGTTAGTTATTTTTATATCAGGTTTTTTGGTCAGAGTTTCTTTTCAAGCGTTTGAGTCTTTGTTCCATCTTAGCGATAAGCGAGGATGGACTAAGCTTAGAACGCAAATGTATTAAGACCACATACACATGCCGCTGGGTATTGTGGCTCACTACAGCTGCAGCACATCTTCCATGGTATGACCTCTTCTTGCAATAATTTATTCGCTTACCCCAATGTATTTTGCAATTATAGAGTTGAACTGCTCCACACTATTGTTGACCTCATCATGAATTAAACTGCATTCGTAATTAAAATGGTCGTATATGACCCTTTATTGTCCATTATCACACCAACAACAATTCAACAATACAAAATCTACGAACAGTAACAAGGGGAGAAAAATACTAAATGGTCACTTGCTGAGTACCAAAATAAGAAACGATTTACATTCTAGATCGCTAATCGAAATCCGACTCTGTTATTATAAAAATTCACCTTGGTATGCACCCGCAGTCATCCTTTCCTCTTTTAAAGTAGCGCCGACCACCGTCTATGCCTAGCCCACCCTCGTTTCCTTTTCACCCCCCCGTTATCTCAGCAGATGGTGCTCGTGATTGTAGGAGCCCCGTTTAAGAAATTGATACAGATGAAATTTATTTTCAACAGGATGGTGCAACATGCTATACTGCAACCGAAACCATAGAGATTTTTTCGCGAGATCCCGTAGTGAACCGGAGCGGGAACAGATGGAATTTCCCCTTCCTCTCGAAGTTTTGACAGTTTCAAGATACACCGGGAGTGGTCAGATGACGCATGTTGCGCAAAATGTTTACTTTAAGCTCCTTGATAAACTAGGCTGCCTTGTTTGAATCTGAAACAAAAAGACCGATCTTGTTTTGTGCAATGTAATAATTTAACTCAATTTTCGGTACTGCGAAGACAAATCTTCAATTGAGATGCCTGTTTTTTAAATGAAATTGACATAAGTCCTGTCACCCGCTAGTACCCCACAGACGTTAAGCGGGTACCCGTACCACGTGTTTTTTTGACATTCGGGCGACGTCACATCCGTCTTCCCCTATTCCCGTTCTTCGCGAAAATTTAAGCATCGGTTCCCGGTAGTGCACTGTGCTACACCGTGGACTCGCGAAAAAATCCTTAATGGATTTACTGCGTGATAAGTCAGTTATTTCACGAAACGGATCTCACAATTTGACGTTTGACACCTTCAGACTATTTTTTGTGGGGGTATGTTACATCTAAAGTGTATGCCAATAACCCAGCAACAATTCAAGGCCTTGAACGCAGCATTCAATTAAGTATAGCGGCCATACCAGTCGAAATGCTGCACAGAGTCATTGGTGTGTCCGGATCAACCAGTGCAAACAGAGTCGAGGCGGCCATTTGTACGATGTACTGTTTATGTACTGTTAAATAAGGCCAATGAATATGCAAATTGTTCATATTTTAGTTGTTTTATTTCAATTTCAAATCCTATCGTTCTTATTGGGAAACCCCTTATATACTCAGTTGTTCAATGTCACATCTTCTTGAGATTTTGACATATACGAGGGATGTCTTTTAAGTTTTACATATGGAAATAAAACAACACGGTGGGCAGTTTTAAATGACTTTATTGTTTTTCGAAGTATTCTCCACGATGATTAATACACATCTGCATGCGCTCGAACCAAGTTTCGAAGCACTTATTCCACTCGTTTGCTGGCAGATCCAAAACGGCATTTTTGAATGCGTCAACTGCTTCTTCTGGTGACTGGAACCTTTGACCATTCAGTCTGTTTTTAATTTTCGGGAAAGTAAATAAATTGTTAGGACTTAGATCGGGACTATTATGGAGGATGGTCCAAGAATTCCACGTTTTCTTCCGTTAAATACTGCCTTGTTTCTTGGGCTGTGTGCGAGCTTGCATTGTCTTGGTGGAGGATGATTCTTCTTTCGGGGTTGATTTTTCGAAGCTCGGTGATGACTTTTGGCAAAAAAATGGTGGTATACCAATCCGCAGTAACTGTTCTTTGCTCATTAAAAGGAATTGTTGCAATATGACCTCTGCTCTTCAGTCAACAGGTGGGGTATCCAACGAGAAACTAATTTTCTTACTCCTGATTCTTCATCTAAAATTTTTTGAATTGAGGTCTTTGAGATCTTCAAGGACGCCTTAATCTCGCGATATGTCACATGTTTATCTTCAATGATGAGTTTGCGCACAGCATTGACGTTTTTCTGAGTGACTGCCGTTTTTGGTGCACCCACCCTGGGATCGTCGCTAAGACTCACCTGTCCACGTTTGAATTCTCCATACCAACGGGAAATTGTCGACTGATGTGGCGCTTCGCTGCCGAAAACAGACAGTAACTCAGCAAGGCATTCTCGGTTGAGTTCCATTTTTCTAATGACTTGCTGATACTTAAAAATTCACTGTAGTGATAACACGTATTGTTGTGAAACTTTGAATTTAAGTTTACTAAAGAGTGAGTTTAAGATTCAGTACTGACGGTCGATCCGCTATGTTTCTACATGTAAAACTTAAAAGTTCCTCGTATAGCAAAGATTTGTAATGGTAATCGTCGCGTCGTTGTCAAAAATGTAGCGGAGATCATCATGATAACCAATATGCTTTTGAAAACTTTTGTGCCCATTATCATAGTACAGAGCATGCTACTATCTCGAAAAACTGTCCCGCTTATAAAAAACAACAAAACATCAACAAGATGAAGGCGAATAATATCAAAGATGCCGAGCCATTAGTAGATAACCTGTCATATGCCAATATAGTAACAAACAACAGATTCACTGTATTGAATAACTTAGACAATTTTCCTGAATAATCTCCAAATATCGCATCAAACGGTAATTTCGTAGCAAAACCTAAGAGACAACTTTAGTCTCAACAAAACCTTCCCAGTAAACGAAAAATATGGTTTCCTCCTGCAACCCCTTCTACCTCTTCTGATACCACGAACGCCACTTCGCTTCGTAACGTCCAAAAGAAAAAAGGTATAAGTTCATTGTATTTAAAGAAAACTTAATATACCATGTGACCAGTTTTTTGAACTCAATAAAATATAATCCTTAATTAATTAATGAATTTAAAGTTGACAGTTCGATTGACATCCTCACACATTTTCAAGTCGGAGATTTTATTCAACCCTAATAACGCGATTGAGACTCAACCATGGTATATACCGAGACCACCTATTTAGAATGGGAATCATTGATAATAATTGGTGCGACTGTGACAACACCAAACACCATATTTTTTTGAATGCACAAGAAATGAGCCCCATGTTTCTAATATAATAGAAACATTAATTTATTAGGATCAGATATCACTTTCAATCCAACTGTCATCATTGATAAGTTCAAACAGAAAGTCTATTCTGGATAAAATAGTTCAGTTCACAAAAATATCTAAGGTAGCGATATAAAGCACCACGTGACACAAACTATAAAAAACTGTGTTTAATGGAATTTTGTAACTTCCCCCCCCCCCCTTACATACATACAAGACGCAAACTTGATCTACCACGTATTCAGTGTTTAGGTGCGGTACAGAATGTATTGCCAACTTGTACCACGGCCTCTCTCCTTCCTATCTGCCTAGCTACTTGATATAATATAAACGGAGTAGTATCCAAACAAGCAAATAGTCGATAACACAAGCATTTTTTTCTAACTGACAGTGACTTTTTCGCTTGAATCACAACGCCAGATTTAGCTTTTTCCTTTAATTAGAGCATCAATGAAATTTAGCAAACTCTCATATCTATAATGATCCGCACGGGTACTACGTATCTTGAAAAGTGACATTATGGCGATTTTTTTGACATTGTACCAGTATTGGTTTTTTGTGACATTATGTAGGTTTTTCTACAAGATGTTAACTCAGCTGATGGACACGTTGTGAACTCGTTTTGTAGTTGTAGGTGTTGCCTAAACGTCATGAGGCTTCAGTTACTAATGTTTGGCTCTGATGTGACATAAAATCTGCTTCAGAGATGACTAGAGGTAACGGCAATGCATAGGTGCATAGTGAGGATTTGTGTGCTAATAATATGTGTTGATGATAAGTCCATTGGATTCTTGTCTCAAATACGAGCCCCTTCCCACTTAAGTTGGCCCACTTCAAGATTTGTACCAAAATATGCCTTTATAAACTAAACATGACGAAACTATTTACTTCTAAAACAATTTATTTTCTCAAAAACATTTTAGATACACTCTAGTTATAAAAAATACATATTTGAAATCACTTAGACCTATACTAATAGAACATCTGAACAAATAAACAACGTGCGAATAAATGCGCGAAGTTAACAAAGCAACAATTGAAAGATTACCATTGGGTAACATCACTTTTATTTTTTATTACGGCTGAAATTCTTTGGCGCATAGTGTTAACCAAGTTTTGGCAAAAATTTGATGTAAAACAATCCCATATTTCTTGAAGCTTTTGCCTCAGTTCGGTGATCGTACGAGCAGGATGTTGTCGTAGAACCTTTTTCATCTCGTGGCACAAAGTTTCAGTAGGTGACAGATCTGGACTGCTAGAAACTCATTTCAAAAGTTGAACATTATTTTCTTCCATCCATTTTATAGCCTATTTTGAGGTATGGCACGCTGCACCATCTTGCTGAAACACAAAATCTTGGCTGGATGTCAAACATTCTTCCATCACTGGTAAAAGCGATTCTTCTAAAATTGCCAAATATTTGTTTGTATCCACATTTCCATAAATAAAATGTTTTCCTACTCCTTTTGATGACATACTGCCCCAGACCATAATGGATGCTGGAAATTTCACTTTTCTCTTCAGACAGTCAACATGAAATGCTTCATTTTTTTTGCGAATAACTCTACTGCGACTGTCACCAACACAAACTTCCAATCGGGCCTCATCACTCCATTGTATTGCACACCATTGAACTGAACCAGTTACGTTATATCTTCTAACAATATTTCTCACACTGTACAGCGATAAGTCTAACAAAGTTGCAATTTCTGAGTTTGATTTCCCAGAATTAAAAAATTTAATTATCAGTAACCGAATTTTCTCACTAATAACCTTTCATCCACCTATTTTGAAAACCTTAACTACCCAAAACTATTTTAAACGTATTCTGACAGCTGTGATTAATAAAAGCAATTGTCATGGCTTTTATTTTTCACAGCCGCCTATGCGTTATAGACTTATTTTGCATTGAAATGAAAATAGGTTGATATGCTGTAATTGCAACATGTGTTATTTTTATGCTGCAAATTTGATTAGGGAGTGATAAAGTTGGTGTTTTCTACTATATATTATCAAAATATTCATTGTTAATATTTTAAACCTATAACACCCTGCTACATTTTTATTATTTGTGTTTGATAAGATAAAAACTAAGATTTCAATCGTTGGGCCAACAGAAGTGGGAAGGAGCTCGTACACTTACTCGAGATTGAGAGCTAGAAATTAGTTGCGCAGCAATTTTTTCTCATCCATTCTGGAAATTACATATGCAAATATGCTGAATTTCAAAAATGAGAGAGATAAGTAATAATTATATTCAGTGTACAGTGTCGAAGTCTATATGATAACAGTAATTACACACAACTCGGGAACGGTGGTGATTTCCCATAATTCTCCTCAAAGTGTTTGAAAAAACAAAAAAAACTTTAAAAGTCGTAATTTATAACTTTGAACATAACCTGTCTTCAGAAAGGACAAAATATAAATAACCTGTCGGGCACTTCATTGGCAGCATATTCAGTAATGATTTTCTCATACAGCAAACATTACTGGTTTTATACACATAATCATCCAGATGTGCTATTGCTATTCAACTAACTTTCTTCTCAGATATGAAGACTGTAGACTAATTGGCTTTACAAAACATATGCAACCAACAATGCGTGTAGTTGAGCCAGTCCTCCATAGATGTACGCTCACAACGATCCTGGTGAGCAAACGTGGAATGACTGTTTGCACCCTAAAAACCTAATGTGCAAGATGATATTTTGTAGTTTTTTTGACGTTTTATAGGTTCTCTACATAATCCCCGTGCCGATCTGCTGTATTATACGCCCTAGATTTGAACCCTTTTAGCATTTTTTTGCAACAAGCCTGCCTTGTCATCCTTTACCAATCATTTAATATGTGGTGATACCCAAAGGATACAAAGTTTTCTAACAGTATAATAAACGGATATATTTCGCACAATACTTCGTTCAGAAATAATGAAAGTTTCTGTCACAAGTTCTACGTTCTATTCGGTTACGATTTCGGATGGCCGAACTGAACGTGGATTGACGAAATACACTTTTCATTTCGTCATCATATTTTTTTGTTGATAGACTCCCTCTAAAATTATAACAGAGTAACAGTCAGGAACGACACATCATCGATATATCACAAAACTTCTAATTTATTTGCATCAAAGTTGCATGTCTATGTTTGTATATACTTACTGTATACTAACTGATGTGGAAACTTTATAAAAACATAAAAGTCTAGCCGCGTTGTATTTAACTGTCGTACGACAAGAATTATAGCATCTCCTACGGATACGTCATACTTCCGACATTTCACCTACAACTTTTTTGATAAGCTATTTCTTATGCAGATCCTTGACCTACCAATTACAGTGGGCACATTCATCAAAATTACAAAATCGGTATAGAGCGAGAAACGATCTACAAGGTAACAATTGTGGTGTTTAGTTTGGACTATGGACGGATTTTGGATTCATCTAAAGTTGCCATCGTAGTTAAAATTTAAATTTATCCCACAAGATGAACCGCAAGAGTAACAATAGTATTAAATAAAGTTAAAGAATAGGTGAGAAACCCAAGCGCAAACGGTTGCATGAAATTGTGAATGTAAAAGTTCCCTAATTTCCAAAACATATTTCAAATCATAGTCCAAGTAGATTGAATTACGGTGGTAAGACATTTTTCAAATAACTAATAGTGCAGGGCTACGCCGCATGGCTTCGATTTATTTGCGAACATTGACAATTTTAGTTTCTTTAAACATGTTACCGTTTTGTGCAATAATGGAGTGGCAATGCCATTTTTATGTTGGTTAGTAGTGTTATTTAGTAGACACTAAGGCGGTTCAATAAGTACCCGTGTTTGACGACAGAAGGCGTTCCTGGGGGAAGTTAATGTTATCATCGTGTGCTGCCATCTATCAAACGACGCTACAACAAATTTCAGACTGATTGATAGGTTAGTTTGGATTTGGCAGCCACTCGAGTAACACGTGTTTCGTGATTCTCGCTAAGATGGAAAAAGAGCAGTATCGTTCGGTAAGTCGCTTTTTGTTTTTGGCTGGGAA